CTCATGCTGGTTTTAGTGAGATTTAGCACGATATGTTTACCTTGCGAACCTAATACTTATAAAACACTTACGTTGAAATGTACGTGCAACTGTTACAAAACGCACGGTCACTTATAACAGGAATGCCGCGAGTTAATCACAGTTTAGCACTTGTTTAATACGGTTCTTACTGACACTAGCATCTCTAGAAACAAGCCAATAATTCACATATTACGTAGATTATTTTAAAACTGTTTTACTGCAATTGCCTGAGTAGCAGAATGACCGTACAAACTCATAAATATACTCACATTGTGTTGAAAAAAATAAAGGCCAGAAAAAAAGAAAAAACGAAAATTCAAGCTGAAACCTATTGTGAAGCAAGGATATTGAACAAAACTAAAATCAACGTTGGTTTTGTTATTGTCACATTTTTGTGAAAAATTAAGAAAAATATCGAACCAGCTCACGCATTTTGTTCACTCCTATAGATGTCCAGAGTATTCACTGAACTGAGCAGTTCGTTATAAAGCAGTCATGTTGTGTTCTGATGGAGGAGAAAAAAAAATATAGGAAGTAAATCTACTGTGATACCGCAGTTGTCAAGCTTACATAGCCACAAAATAAAGCATCGAAATCAAAAAGCAAGCACATAATACGATTGTAAGTAGAGCCGTATTTTCGTCGGCAAAGCAGTTTTCACTGATGGCGCATATCCCGGGGCCTGTCGATCACAGCTGGCCCTGTCGGCAGCCACCTTTTATGTGTACAAGTTAACTCGTTGTTTCTGCGTCGTTCTGCGGGTTCTGTAAGCCTAAAGCGTAGCGGCATCTGCGCCACATTATATTGCCATGTCCTGCGCGGCCGAGATTTTTTTTTCCCCTACAGGCGCCGTTTCGGGGCGTAACGCCCTATGGATATCGACAGCGCCGAGCCATTGATCGCGCCGAATGGTGCGTGAAGAGAAACAACGTGCCATGCCTTTGTCGTGCGCTCTGTGTTGGCAGCCAAATGACTTCACTTAGCGATATGTCTCGCCTCCCTCCCCCCCCCCCACCTCTTTTTTTGTTCTGATGAAGGCGAAATGCTCGTGTAAGCAATTTCTAGTCGTTTTTTTTGTGTTGGGGGCCTTTAGTTTTGTTCATTCTTTTTTCTGTTTGTATTTTAAAGATCGAAGTGGATAGGCAGCTGGCGCGGTTTTCACGTATGCCTTAACTTCTTGTAGAAGTAGTATTAGTTGCCCATAATCGAGGCAGTTCAAGCGGCACGTTTCGATGCATCAAGCATTTTTTTAATTTTTGTTTGTTTGCTTTACAAAAAGGAGAGCTTAATGATTAAAAAAATCTCGTTTAATTTTACATTTTTGGCAGCGAAGGTTTCGTTAATTCAATTTATATCAGTTGGAAAACCTCAAAAACAGAGAATAATAAATGTTCATCTTTTTGATATACGTGTAATGAAGGGGGAAGCAAGCTTGGAAAACCTCAAAAACAGAGAATAATAAATGTTCATCTTTTTGATATACGTGTAAAGAAGGGGGGGAAGCAAGCGAAGTAACGGGAGATGGCAGGGTAATTAGCACGCGCCATACGTTCGTCCGTGAGTACGTCTATTTGTCCGTACTTTACACTAGTCGGCGACGTCAACGTAAGATGAAACTTCACCCACATGTCATCATTCACATCGAGCAGATGCGTGGACTTTTTTGACGTACACCGGCTTATACACGACTGTTTCTGCACTCTACCTCAATAGAACTTCGGCTGCCGTGGCGGTGTCAGTGGATATCGCAGCATGGTGGAGTGTCTTGAGGACGCTTACATTCAATGATTTAGTCCACGGAAATGACCCCTTTCAATATCTCAATATCTTAAGAAAGGGTAACACTGGCACGTTACACAAAAAGCAGTTGCCCTCTCTAAGTCAGTACAGTGTAGGAAGTGTGGATAAGGCTTTCACCTGCTTTTTACGACGTTGGCGTTCACGAGTGAACAGACACTGGCGTTGCAAACTTGCAGCCCATTCAGCCTGCATGACTGGAAAGGGACCTTAATTTGTATAACAGTGGCGCATGCTCGCTTCCTTTTTTCCTTCCTTTTCACATTGCAATCCCTTCTCCTCACACTCATCGTTTTCCCTAATCCTTGCTGTTCTAAGGTACAAGAGAGGAAAAATTGTAGAGAGGGAAAGGCAGGAAGGATAATCAATCCAGTGTAATCGGTTTGCTACCATATACACGTAAAAATGGGATGGGGCAGATTAAAAGAGAGAGAAGAAAAAGAAAGGAAAGAAAAAGGAAGATAGCACAGAATACAGCAGTCAGTCACAGTTCATCACTTTAGCGTTGATACGTGACACGCTTGTCCATGTTCGTTTTTGTAAAAAAAAAAAACAAAATAAAACTTAGTAGTTTTTTGGTCGCTTTTAGCTGCGATGTCCTCCATCAACCATAGGCAGAAGTAGATTAACCAGACATTTATATATTGTTAAGGTGGGCTAGAACGAACGCAATGATTGTCTCTGAACTTTATAGACCAGACAGTCACATGAGGTTGTGGCGTCGTCTTCTCACAACGACAATTAGGTAAAAATACGATATTGTGAAGGTCCTACGGTACAAATCGCTATACTATACTGTACATGATTACGCTATGACTTACCCTTCTCCTGTTCTTCCTCCTCCACCGCCTCCCAAAACTCTTTCCCATTCTTGTTTTCCTTTCTATCTCCCTCGCTATTACCATGCCACCCATGGCAATGTTTACGTGGCTATGCTATTCACGGTTTTGCTTGCGTAACGGCCAGCTATGACATGAGATGACAGACTACAGATGATTACAGTAAATGATCATATGTATAAGTTAACCTTCGGTAACATCAGGGATAAAGAATTTCAGTACCTGGAGAATCCGTAATTTCTCATGTAGCACACTTGTCAAGGACTGGTTAAAATGATAAGTTCGGGGGGGGGGGGGAGGCTGTGGAGCGTGTCAAATTGAATGTTTATATGATTCTGTTGTTGTTGCTCCTCACGCGTGTGGCGTGGGGTTCTAGGAAATGCCGCTTTTAATAGACTTCAGTTTGGAAGTTCTGCCTTGGCCTGTACGCTACTTTTTTCTTGTGCTCACGTTTGAAACCTGCAGGAACCAGTTACTACACATAAAAAAAGATGACACGTCAGCCCTGCCTCCTAAAGCATCTGAAATCTAAAAAAATACGATAATACAGGAATACTAGAATCTCAGATTTTCGCTAAAGCATATTGAATAAATTAACAACCCTTCTATTATTGTTTGTACTAACTATATTTCATGGTCTATGATGATTGTAAATGATAAGAATAATACAGAAGCTTTAAACGTTATTGCGAGCTAGAATGAATATATCTGATGATGAAAGCATTGATTGCAGTGTTTTTTCAAAGGTCTAGGATACGTCACTTCTTTAGCTAAGGTCGTGTGAAAGCACATAACAGATAACCAATGGACCGTCAAAATGACACTAATAGTGTCAACTCAAGGAAGATGCATGAAGGCAGTTTTTCATATTGAGCTGGCGAGATCAGAAAAAGAGCATGTGTAATTTTCACAGTTTAAGCTGTTATAAAATAACAACAAAGGTGCCGTAGTTGTCCGCCACCACCGCTGGCGCCCGTAACCACTATCACTTGAATTAAGAAGAAAAAAAAAGACATTTACATAGGACGAATTGTCCAGGATGTAGCAGGGTTCAACCCTAGGTCCTCTTTGCGGCAGCCCAGTGTTCTGCCACTTAGCTACGCCGGTGCTATGAACACCGTCGCAATCTTATCCTACGCAGGCTTCGTGTATTGGAATGAGCAGTGTTAACATGTCCAATAAAGTGTTTTACAGCAGTAAGGCGTAGCACAATGCGAATAGCGTACCGATGGAGTAGTTGATTCGTCGAACTCATTACAAAAGCCTCAGACATAACTGTTCATTGTCGTAAGCCACCACATAACAAAGAGCATGCAATGCCTTGCAATTTGTAGCGGGTATCACGCTTCACTGAAGAATGACGAATAAGGGCATAGTGGATCCTCCGCCTTAGTTGGTTCCATTCAAGTGGGCTTGTAGTAGCTGCCCCAAAAGGGTTTGAAGGGGTCTAGAAAGGATATCATCCTTCGATGTGACTGTGCTACGCGTTCTGTGCAGGCCTGGCAGTTTTCTGTTAGTTGCTGCAGGCTTTTATCAGGTAATAAAATGGATCCGGGAGAGAATTGCAACGTAGTGTTCTATTAACGTAGTTGCTACATGTTATAATCAAATAGAGTAAAGGTGCATGAAGGGGACATAGAGATGGGCTTTTATATAAAATTTTGGATGACGCCACTTCGGCCAAGTGTGGAACTTCGCCGATATCGCAATGCACCAACATATACAAATCATCAGGATCTTCAATAGGTGATATTAAAGAATAACAGCCGCATTTTTAATGCCTTCGCTCAGCTATGCCGAAAAGGTAGCCCTTTTGAGTGGCACACTGATAAGCTGCCCTCAGTATGATGCTTTTCTGCATTAGATGCAGGCATTAGTCCTCACCGCAGCTCTTATGCAGCGCTGCGAATGAGCTGCAACTAAACGCCGTAAATGCGTGTGGTAAAGCACGCTCTCGAAGTCAGCCCTTGAAGCTCCCTAAAATATCATCTTAGTGCTGCCCGTTCGCTTACATCGGTACAATATTTGATACATGCAATTTTTTCTAAGAATCATCTTCACTTTCTTACATATTTTATTACCTTTCTTTGTATCCTTATCTCTCCCTAGATTCAGAGTATAAAACTGGATCTTTGCTTTTAATTTACTTCCGCGCATGTTCTATTTCATTGCGTTTTTCATTAGCCTTCCCATTATCATCAGCCTGAACACGCCAACCAAGGATTTAGATGAAGCTGATGATAGCCGAGATGATTAGTCGAGGACACTTTCGTTACATGCGTTCATGTTTGCTCGTATGGCTGCGTAATCGAAAATTTCGCTGTTTATTCTTTTTTGTTTCAGTTGTTCAACACCCGTACAAGCCACAAGTGTACGATGAATTTGTCATCGCCGGCAACACAGCAGTCTTCCGCTGCAGCGTCCCGAGCTTCGTGCGAGACTTCCTGGATTTCTTCGCGTGGATACGAGATGACGGAACGGTCATCACCAGCAGCTTGGAGAAAGGTACGACAACTCTTCCTAGTGATATTCTGGGTGCAACACCGTATATATCATGGTGTTAGCTTGCTTATCGGGGTGGGCGGCCCGTTTATGCACGATTAGCAAGCGCAGCCGCTACAGCGCAACTTCCTTACGGAGGCACTTAATAGTTCGAAGTTGCGAAAAAGACTATTTTTCTACAAAACGGCAAGTTCTGCAACGCAGTGGGCAGAGCGCTAGCACAGTTTAAAAACAATAGGGGGAGTGACAGAAGAAGTAGGAAGGCGAGAACACACACACACTATGGTAACCACGTCAGGGTACTCATATCTCCTATCTGGTGCCACTAGAAATGCAAACGAGTATCTTCCGTATTGGAAGGTGATGCTGTACCACCTTAGAGCTACTACGGTCAATTAGATGACGAGATACGCACCCAAATAACAATTCCTCGCTCTTTTCCTCTCGCACTGCCCTTGTCAATATCCCTGTCACACTGTTTTTATTGTCGCCCCGCCGCGGTGGTCTAGTGGCTAAGGTACTCGGCTGCTGACCCGCAGGGCGCGGGTTTGAATCCCGGCTGCGGCGGCTGCATTTCCGGTGGAGGCGGAAATGTTGTAGGCCCGTGTGCTCAGATTTGGGTGCACGTTAAAGAACCCCAGGTGGTCTAAATTTCCGGAGCCCTCCACTACGGCGTCTCTCATAATCAAATGGTGGTTTTGGGACGTTAAACCACACATATCAATCAATCAATCAATCAATCAATCAATGTTTTTATTGTATTCCACTCTTCTGCCCTCCACACGTCTTTCCTGCACTTCTCCCTAACGGCACATTCATCGGCTCGTTTTGACCACCGACTGCCTCACAGTGAACTACATGCTACGGTGGAAGCTAAAATGTGATTGCAGTGTCTCTAGTATAGTTGTTGCCATAATACAGCCGTAAAATCACATTACTTCCTTTGTAACTCAAGAAACCGTGACAGAGAATGCATTGGTCATTTTTAAAAGCACACAGTTATTTTTATGGAACTGTAAACGTGCGATGTAAAAACTTATTTTTTGCTTCCAAAAGTCACCAACTAGTCGGAATTGGGAGAATTGTAGAGTATGGCCAAAGAGCTGCCTTCTTCTTGTATTCCTTCAAATTCGGAAGGCACGTTAGTAAAATGTGAGAGTTCGTAAATTTTTAGTTGGTGAAAGTCAAAATAGAAAGACAAACTTATAGACAAAAAGTGATAGCATAGAATATTCTCACCTCAAGCTATTCCTTAATTTCATTATGTATATACCGGGGAAACGGAAGACTAGCAATGTTTAGCAGCATTTTAAGGGTTGCATATTTGAAGTGCAAGTCACGAAAGCCTGAACCTGCACCAAAAATGTGAAAAGTACAGAATACCTTACTGGAACATTGTGAGCAGCCAATTTATGCAATCACTGCGATGACAGTGGAAGCACAGCTCTTTCGATCGCCCCTCCTAACAGTGAATCCGCCGAACCGGAAAACGTATTTTCGTATAGTAGAAGACTATTGAGCGATTCTCATCATGTTCGATCAAATATATTTTTATTTATGTACGTATAGCGCACAAGGAAGCAAGTTGCGGAAGCGATATTTCGTAACAAAAGAGAAAGCGATTTGGATTATCAATGCTCTCCGCGATTATAAATTGGCGCTGCCTAAATGGCCGTTCAGCCACGCGTCAACTGGCCCCGAGTTTCCGGTGAGCACTCCATAAGCCGAATAGAACTCCTTTGAGCATCGCATTTCCAAATGAGGCTACTTACAGTAGCCGATGCGGCGCCTGTTCAGTTGTGGGGCTTCCTTACAACCATAATCCGAAGCGGTGTTGTTCCGCGGCAGCAATTGGCCACGAAGGAAGAGAGAAATGCGATATCTGTGGGTCTGTGAAGAGTGACGCAAATACTTTAACATGCATGGATGGGAATATTACTCCTTTGAAGTAGTGTTGTCCGAAAACGAGATGGTAAGGAGAAGTCTCATTCATGCTGTCTCGCAAATGGTTACCGATGATCATTGAGGCAAAAACCTAGGATGCCTCATTAGACAAGAAAGTTCACTCTCGGTGGCGTCAACTTAGGCGATGCACATTATCATTACGTGATGGCGTCACCATATGACGTCATCGGAACGTTACGGATCATACCGATTCGGTGGCACGACGTCACTGTAAAGTCACATAATGCGACATGAAACGATGAAGTGGTCATGTAATATTTTCACTATATAAAAGGTGGGCCGATTATGGAGGCTGTGCAATACTATATAAATGAGGGGCCTGAAGATTCCGATGCCTCTGATCATATAGGCAAGAAAAAATCACATTAAGTTCAGAAAGCTTTCCGAGGGGCAGGTGGAGTTTAGTTCATGGACTTAAAAGAAAAAAAAGAGGTATATTTTGCCTTCGAGTCGTCTTTGGACAAAACGTAAAGGGTCGTATAAGTTTCTTCCAGCTCCTCTGAAGCAGCCGCCGTGAACGGAAGTGCCATTGGTCAGTTGACGGGGATGTGGTAAGAGAGGATGGCAGATGGCTCTGCAAGTACGTTCAAATCTCATAACTTCTTTCTTTTCAATATTTCAATTTCCTACTGCCTTCTTGTGACGCTAAGCAGCCTCAAATGCAGCTCCAGAAAGCGGTCTGAACCACACGGAAACAAAAAAAAGAAAATCACACACACAGCGTGCATCGGTACGCAAACTAACTCATAAGCTAACTAACTTGGACTCATTCAGACTGACATCAAGCCGTCAGTCTGAGTGAACCCGGGTGAGTGATAATTTCGTAGCTTAAGTTCCAGTGAGGCCAGTCGAAGAAACTTTTGGTGAATTTAAGTCTAAACTTAGGCATCAGAACTGAGAGAATGAGTGAGCCCTTAGCGTGGAATGTGTTTTTCGGCTAAGTCTGAGTGAGCTTCACGGTTCTGATTTTTTTTGTTTTTTGTCGACCTATGGTCTAATATATTCTACTATAGCATTGCTATCAACCATATGCCAGTTCATGTTAATACTCACGCCTATCGCACCCACTTCGGTGCACTAGCCTAATATTTATTGATCAGAGGTCTAAGCTACGAAAGGAGAGGGGAGGAGCCTCTTGAACTCCTCACGCAATCTTTCTGACGGGAAAATCTTCATAAAAATATCTCGTGCGAGTTGGCTTTTCTATAACAACGTCCTTAATAAATTGGAACCACAGGTAACTCGTATGGGAATGTATAGGATGAAGAGGTTCGAAATAGATCACTGGTTATGCGAGATGTTAGGTACCTTTAGCTGACCGATTTCGCGCTCCTTTCCCCGTTCCGCTCAAACGCTAAAAGTTACTGGATGTACCAAAGAAACATCTAGAAGCGCTCCTTTATGGGCTAAAGTGTCAGCTCTAAATTGTTTCGTGGAACTTCACCCTACATGCGCGGATTCTCGAAGAGATTGGTTGCGGCGACTTCTCGGAGGAGGCACAGATCCTTTTGTGTCCTGAAGCGCCGTCTGCGCTTGCGTGTTTGCCGAACAACCACTGCGTTTTCCGAGCAGCGCGGAATCGCGGTGCAAGAGGCTAGCTATTTTGGTCGTTCCTCCTCGCGTCACGTGATCCTTTGCTCGCTACGACGGTCCGCTCACACACCCAGCGCCTGACTGTCTAGCGCATGCGCAGTGGCGCAACCACCGTCTGGCTGAGCATAGTAAGAGGCAAAATACGGTCAGCTAAATGTGCCTATTGGTGTTGAAGTGCATTGAAACCATGGTTGAAAAAAGCTAACTATACGCTACTCAACTCATGAGTCGACTCGCCCAGACTCTGACTTACCTGTGAGTATGAGTCCTAGTGAGAAATATTTTGGTACGTTTGAGTCCTAGTTGGCTCGGTTGAGAAAAATTTTAGCGTCAGAGTTTGAGTGATTCCGGTGGAGGAACGATTTGGTGAGCCTGAGTCCGAATGCGTGAATCTATCTATCTATCTATCTATCTATCTATCTATCTATCTATCTATCTATCTATCTATCTATCTATCTATCTATCTATCTATCTATCTATCTATCTATCTATCTATCTATCTATCTATCTATCATATGCGGCGCACCATGCGTCCGTCCGTCTGCGCGAGATGCTATTGGTGACGTTTGACAGGGGATATTATATTTCCATTGGTTACTTTATCTGCAAGATCTGTACTCCTAGTTCATTTTATTAGTGTTCCGCTTACTTGCGGAAGTATACAGCGCTTTCCATTCCGAAAATCGCTTCCTGGCTACCACGGCGAACGGAAGTGCCTAGTGGCTGTGCCGGCGCTTGGGCGCGAATCAAAACGTGCTGCAGCGATGCGTTCAAACGCGTTACAGGCATGCGACGACGAGCGCTAAAAAGCGATGCTTCTCGCTTCAGTGCCGGTCGTGGTTCTTAAGAGTGGGCACTTCACCGGAATGCTGATAGATGGTGGCGGATTTGTAAAGCAGGTCTGGACATGCCGCGCAAGACTGGCTTGAGCTTTCAGAAAGGATCGTCCGAAATAAAAAAAAGACAAACTAAGAAAGAAAAGATGAAGATGTCCCGGAAGGGGGGAAAAATATCCTCGCATGTATTGTTACATCTTTGTGTTCGTTTTTCACCATTTTGCTGAATTGGTTCGTTTCGGATTTTTTGCGTGTTTTCATTTGATGTGCCGGCTAACTGTGTCATGGGTAGATTTTTCCACAACGGAAACTTTGTTTCTGGGCGTCGCTAGAAAGGTTCGCGGAAGCTTGGTTATCGCGTTGATTTTGGTAAATTTTTAACGTTGGCACATATGGGATTTTATTGGCAATGATAAGGGTGATGGTCGCCTTCTTGTAAGGGGATATTTTGAACGCTGAGATTTAAAACACGTACGTGTATATTTTCACACAGACTGTGTGATGTTTGAGCACTATGAAAATGGCATGCAAACAGATGACATTACAATCAAGGATTGAATTATGTGGCTATTG